GTTGGAGTAACCTTGAAGGAACTTTATGTTATGTCTTAACTTGCTGACATGCCATGTACATAGAGAAAAACTTAGATATTTCTCTTTTTATGCCAGACCACCCAATTGTCAGAGCACTTGGTAAATTGTGTTACTAACTAGATGAACAGAGAATATACCACAATGTGCCTCATAAAGAATCTTACTACATAATTTCTCATTAGTTGCTACACAAAATTGACCCCTATAGAATAACACATCCCCACTTTGCAACTCAAAACTAGGCACCCCTCTATTGCATACTTGCTCTACTTGAGCCTTTAAATATTCTTGGTACTCTAAAACCTTTTAACTTCTCTCACTAACTCGGGTTCAAATCATAGCTCAACTAACAACCCACTATCACTAGTTAAACTCAAGCGTGTCAATAAAGCTCGTAATTCTAACATCGATTTTCTGTTCAAGGCATCTGCAATATTTTCCTTAAGTGATAGTTAATTATACAATCGTAATCCTTTAACAACTTGACTCACCTACACTATCTTATTTCAACTCTTTTTACATGAGTAGGTATTAAGGCTCTTGTGATCAATAAATATGTGACACTTTTCCTCAAACAAATAGTGTCTTCAGATCTTCCTAGATAAGACCACTACGGTAGGATCTAGGTCATGAGTAGGGTATTTACGCTCGTGAGGCTTGAGTTGTCGGGAAGTATTCGCTAAAACTTTCCCTTCTTGCATCAAAACATGTCTTAGCCTATTTAACGGTGCATCACTGAACACGGTGAATTCCTTACCCGACTATGGTTGAGTCAAAATAGGGGCTTAAGTTACGATAGAATTCAATTGATTAAAACTCTTATATAGTTTCTCATCTCATATAAAAGGAACTCCCTTATGATGTAATTTGGTTATAAGGGCAGTTATCATCAAGAAACCCTTAATGAACCGATTATAGAACCTGATAAGACTCAAGAAACTACACACCTTAAACATATTCTTTGGTGCTTTCTATTCAACTGTTACTTGAATCTTTCGAGGGTAAATACGTATGATGTCTGTTTCTATATCATGACCCAAAAATGAAACCTCAGATAGCCAAAACTCGCACTTCCAAAACTTGGCCTACAATTATCACTCCTATAATGTTTGCAGTATGATACATATGTATTGGTCATGTTCTTCTTTCGATATCAAGTACATAAGGATGTCATCTATGAATACCACTAAAATTGGTTGAGGTATGGGTGAAAGACTAGATTTATCAAATCCATAAATGTCATCAATACATTGGTGAGTCTGAACAAAATTACTAGAAATTCATAGTGACCATATAGAGTCCTAAAAGTCATCTTCATTACATCGGCATCCTTGACTTTCAGCTGATAATATCCCGATCTTATGTCAATCTTTGAGAATGTATGTTTCCCTAAACTATTCAAAAGATCATAGATCCTAAGAAAGGAATAATGGTTTTTATTGGTTAACTTATTCAACTGTCGGTAATCGATGTATAACCCCATTTACCTATCCTTTTTATTCAAAAATAAAATCGACGTTCCCCTTGGAGATATACTTGGTTGAATGAAAATTTTCTCTAGAAACTCTTAGATTTTGATTTTCAACTCCTTTATCTTTGTCGGTGTAATATGTTAGGGAACAATTGACATAAGGGCCGAACTCGGTAACATTTTAATGCCAAACTCTAACTTTTGGTCGAGATGTAAACATGATAACTCCTCTAAGAATACGTCAAAGAATTCTCTTGCGGTATAAATATCCCTGAGTGTTGAAAATGATATTCTGATATCGACTACGTGAGCCAAAAATGCCTTACAACCCTTATCAATCATTCTCTAAACCATTGTTGCCAAAACAATCCACTACAAGAAAATACCCTTTAATGACGCGCATTGCGCGTCATCTATGGGTGCGGATGACACACAAATGCCTGTCGTTGAAGCCACCGACATGAATTTTTTATGACGCGCAATTGTCTGTCATTGAAGCCCCCGTCATAAATTAAGATGACACACATTTGTGTGTCATAAATTTATGACACGTATATATGACTTACATTGCACGTCATTGAAGCCCCCGTCATAAATTAAGATGACACACATTTGTGCGTCATAAATTTATGACACGCATGTATGACTTACATTGCCCATTGAAGCCCCCGTCATAAATCTGCTTGACATACATTTGTGTCATAAATTTATGACACGCATATATGACTTACATTGCGTGTCATTGAAGCACACATCATTTAAAAAGACGACAAATGTTCGTGTGTCATAATTTTATTTCAGAATTTATATATATATATATATATATATATATATATATATATATATTATAGATTGACAAATAATCAAACTAAATCACATTGAATGTCTCATAATACTAAATCTATGTACCATATTATATATAAGCTATCCATTTGCATACAATATATTCACATTAAGTTATCAAAAATATTGTATCAATCATATGTCGATACAAAATATCAAGGCATAATAAAGTTTGCCACATAAGATACCCATTCTTTGCGAATGTCATCAATGTCATCATCCGTATATTCTTCTTTCCCATCGCTAACCTAAGTAAAAAATATGAAATAAGTATATAATTTATACTTATTTAAAGTGAAATATATAATGAACTATTAAAGAGTACTAAAATGACCAATTTTACATATGCATTCTTTGAAGCATAATAACATTATGCAAAGTCATAAATTAAATAGCATTATAAAAAAATTCCAACTTTGTTCACAACAATATGATCACAAATAATAACCACAAGAGAGTCCATGTTACGTCTATAGTACTTGACAAAATCAAATTTTGGATTTTAAGTACTAGTACGCGTCAAATGCTTTCACAACTCCACCGAACATTTCAAATTGTTCCTTTAGACATTGATTCATATATCGACAAATAGTATCGATTGCCACATGCTTAAAACATGTAATTAGATTCAAGAATTCACTCATTACTTACTACAGAATCTATCAATATATAGAAGCAAATAAAAAGAAGTTTACCATCAATGTAGCTACCAAGTCAAGGCCCTTCTCCTTTGCAAATGTCCAAGCAGAATCCTCAGCTATGGTTTTGGAGACTACATAACAGAGATGAATTAAAAAAATGACATTCAGAAATAATACCCTTTTATTATAAAAGAAACAGTTTGATATTCTAAAATATTAAGTTGTAGCATGAACAAATTGTATAGTGCACAAACAAGACAACAATTAGCCAGTTCATGCAACTAGCAAAAGAAGTTATGAAAAGTGTGATCAATATCCTCAATATGATAAAAGTGCATGATGGTCACTAATTAGCTGCTAAAATAAGATACCAAGAAAAATATTGGAACACTACCAAGAAAGTGCAGAAGTCAGTTCATAATAAATAAGTTAATAGAAAGACCAATGTAAATTGACATTCATACCTTTATGTCTCGATGCAGAACAAAATTTGAATGCAGATATTCAACTGTCAGAAGTAGCTGCGCAAACCATATGCAGCTTTTGTACGCCCGCCTCTCATAGGGGAACCACTTTCTCTTACTTGCCCTTCTTTCGAAGTAGTTACTACGCCTTTGATGGATTTGGGTTTCTTTGATTGAACATGAGAAGGTTTCATCCTTCCTTTTTCATCAACTTTACTAGAGAAACTAATGGGGCAAATATCTTCTTCCTTAGAACTGGAATCTGTGCCAGTGGCCTCATTATTGTTATTTGGAATTCTTGTGTCAGTTTTCCTGTGACTTGAAACCGAACTATCTTTATCATTACATGAGCTATTACTATTCTGATTCTCGACCATATTTTTCCTATTACCACGACCACTGGTAACATGCTTATCCAAGCAGCAGTTCTTCGAAAGGAAGCTAAATGATGGACGATACTTATCAACATATGGCTGCAAATAAGGGTGCTTCAAAAGCTCTGATGCCTAATCAAGGTGAAAACTCAAAATGTTTCATTGAAGTCCTGCATGTGGAGAATCCTTGGAATTGAGCAAAAAGAAACTTACACTTGGTCGATGCTTTGGATTCTTTCTTAGCATGCCCTTGATAACTGCCTTCCTGTTTGTGTAAAATTAAATAAATTAACAATCATGTAGCAAGGACTTGATTACTTGACAAAATATATAGCACTAATCATGCTTAGTGTTACTGCCAAAATACAGATCACCAAGTCCCTTGGGAATTTAAACAAAACTTCACTATTTTTGCCTTATTAAGGGAGAAGAAATAAATTTTCATGGAACCAATTTAAAAATTCATACATTTATAAGAAATAATCTGATCAAGAAATCTGCACATTGTTGAAACCTAATACATAAAAGAATAATTAAAGCAAATGAGGAAACAAGGGTAGAAAAACACAGTATGAGCATGAAAAATCACAGAGAATACTTAGTCATCATAAGAACATACAATAAGAGTGGGCTCTAAAGTTAATATTGAGACTTATAATGATGGAGAGTAGCAAGAAGGCAAAGGGCCCATAGAAGAACGATTTATCTTGCTTATCAACCCTGTCATGTCCTAGAACAAGAAGTTTAACAAAAATTAATGGAAATAAATTTGTATAATTTACACAGATAGTGGAGTCATACAAATGGTAATTTATAGAAAACCTCTCAAAGGACAAGACATCACACTAGATGAGGACAACATTAACTACTTTGAAAGCATTATTTTAAAGAGTGAAGTGCAGAATTCATGGAAACTGTTATGAACCTAGCAAAGGTTGCTACATATTATTCTCAATTCAGATAACCAAAAGATAGAAAGTTCCATTATATTTGGCAATGGAAAAAATTCCATAATGAGAAAAAAGGAAGGGAATAAAAAAGAAAATTTTAAATTCCCTTTTAATAAAACATCAAATGAAATTCGTGCTATTTGTCAGAAAGAGAAACTGTGTAAACTCATTACTGAATACAAGAAGCAGATTCAACAAAAACATTTGTGAGAACTCTTACAAAAGCTTTAAAAACAGGGAGACGAGCAGTCATCTCATACATACAGCACCCTGTTCAACAAGAAGCAATTCAGCTAATATATATACATGTATGTAAGTCAAACACTCGAGAAAAGACATACCCAGAGACCAGATATCAGACTTGAAACCATAAGGAATATCTGCAAGCAGTTCAGGACACATGTAATTGGGAGTTCCAACCACCTGAGGCACGTACAAAACCACTATTATCTAGCACTGGAACTAAAAATAATTAGCACATTCTAATACAAGAATAAATAAAAAAATAGAACAATGATATCAAAAGGTAAATAAGTATTGTTCATTGTCAAATATAAGGGATTGAGAATACCGAGTTTTAGACTAGTGGTTGTTCTCATACTCATTGCATTGGAGGCTCATGGTGCAGGTTTCAACTCCCTCCTCCACACTTCCTTTGTCCAAAAGTGTTTATGAGAGCAAGGATTGACGAGTACAAAATTTAACCCAATAGATACATTTATATACGCTATTTCTTTGGATATTTATGATCGATACAACATGAGTGACAGTTAATTTACAGCACTCCAGTATTTAATCCTTGCACAAATTTTGGGCCCTTTTATGATTAATTATTAATACATCTCTCCTATCACCAAATGTAACACACTTCGACTAACTACCCAGAAGTCGCATACATGCATATATTTTTAGTTCCTAAGTAATGATGCCATACCAAAATATACTAAGGTAACAGCAAATGATTCTTTTTTTGCTTAGTTCTTTCCTTAAAAATGATTAAGTGATTATTTATGTTAATCTACTTGGTATTGTTATAAATTTTACTCGACAATTAGTTACACTTTGGTCTCGGTCAATAAAATTAAAATTAGCACCAAGTTTAACTGTAAGCTTGGCACACACTAGGCCTGTTCATTTTAACAAATCATATTATTTTTCCAGAAAATGTAACTATGCTAGATTGTGACAGCCAATCTGGAAGAGTGGAATATGTTATTAATTACCGAATGTGAGTAATATGCTACCATGCAAGAATTTTTGCAATAAAAGTAAAGGGAAATTGAGGCATCTGCCAACAGAACACAAAACTGCATTTCGAGCTTTGCAGCATAAGCTACTAAGCTTATTATACCAAACTGTAGGAAGATAAGGAAAAGAAATGCTAAAAGAATGACCCAAAACAATTATTTTCAATTTTAGATATGGTTGAAAAAAGACTAAAAGGAAAATGTATGTCAAAAAATCATTTCATTACAATGTACATACCGAGGAAGCCAAATCATCTGCCTTTAGAGTTTTAGCAAGCCCAAAATCCCCTAAACCAATACAGACAAGAAAGGAATTTAGGATAACAATAGCAGAATAGCCAATTAGGTAGGATATCTGACAAAACTTAATAGGAAACATAGATAAAGATAACCTGTAAGAAAGCAAGAAGAAAAGGGAAAAGACAAACTCACCAAGGCGAACATCCTGATCTTCTTCAAAACATTATTTGATAATTACGGAGTAACAAGAAAATGAGCAAATGGACCACAAGCATTATTGATTTCCCCAACATCAATGCCGCAAATGAGCAATCAATTCAAAGTCTATGTATATCAGCAAACACATCTATAACTAAAACTGAACCATTATTTGATAATTATGGAGTAACGACACATTTCCTTTCACTTTCAGTTCTCTTTCACAATCAAATTGTTGTAACTTTTGTGTTTGTCATCAACAAGCGAGACGTCTGGTACTTGTTGTTTACAGGGCTATATACATTAAGCACTAAATTTATAAACAAGTTGATGCGAAACTTGCAGCATCGGGTTCCCCTTTGAACATTAAGATTTATCTATTTTAACAATGTAATGTCAGTACTCCAAGAACAATTCACAGAAGATATGCAGTGATACACATGCTTCGTGATGCAGGGGAAGAAAATTTTCATTATTCAAATATAAGAAAAAGATATTGGTGAAAGTTAGATAGACGATGAGATACCAGGACGTAATTCTTGAAATATTTGCGGATTGATGGATCATAGAAGAAGGAATCATTAGAAGAGCTCAAACCAATGCCTTCTTGCCACGCCCAGTTGACATACTGCGTCTTTCCACCATATGGGTGCAAATTATTTACTAAGCTCAGAAGCAGCCTGACTCTATGCTGCCTTGCTTCTGCAATGACATAATCCAAGGCCTGGAAAGATCGATATTCATCAACATAAATAACATTAACTGAGAAACTGTACTCTACTATCATACTAACCGACATTCGAGAACACAACTGAGTTGATTATTCAACGATTTTTGACAGATTTCTAATAAATCGGCCTAGAAATAAAAGCAAATTGAAATCCGAATAGCTTATCCTGCTATTCTCTTTCATTTCCAAATTCTAGATTACAGTTTTAGAGAGCCCTATCATATTTATATTCAAGACAATCCTAGTTTAGATTAGCAACTGTGCAATAATCTCTTGTAAATTTGAAACCAAAATGGCGCTTGCATTGAACACACAGATCATATAGGATTGAGATTATACAACTGATAATTTGCGATGCAAATATCAAAATTTACAAAAAAGAAAAACCCAAATCTCGAACAAATACCTTGAAAACTCGCTCATCGAATTGCCCTGGGGAAATCTGGAGAGCATTATAGCCACCGTCATTAAAGGCCCAGGTTCTACAAACAGTGAAACCCATCCTTGCACCAGCTTGAAGCATTGCACTGACCTTAGGTCTAGTATTTTCCTCCACAGAATGGGACATTAACCAGTAAGAATTCCAGCCATTAACGAACAATGGTTTCCCATCTAAAAAGAAATGAGTCCCATTCCTTTCCACAAAACTTAATCTCCGTTCCCTAGGGAAACTACTAAGCTTCAAATCACCATAAGACATAAACAAAAGCCATACACGAAGCAAATCCAAGAATTGGGTATAACATCCCATTTCCAGCCATCGTCTTCCTATATAGTAAGAAATCTGAAAATCAATCAACATGCAAAAATCCCAGAAAAAAAATAAGAAAAACAAAGAAAGATTATTTGGGTACCCTTTTGGCTCTATTTCAACAAAGTTCTAAAATTTGAGGATACCCAAAGTGGAGATTACAGACTTACAGTACCTTAAACTCCAATGTGAACGCAGATCTTTCTTCATAAGTTACACACAAAAAAAACAGTATAAAGAAAACTCCTTTCAAGACATAACAAACAGGGGCAGATAGATTTGCAAGTTCACGCGTTTATATTCAGGATTTTGGGGGGTTTTAATACTAGAAAACGAGACCACATGAAGGAAGTGAAAAGGATGGGGTAAAGATTAAGAGAGCTTCAAAGAAAAATGTAAGATTGGGAATGGTGGAATGTTGGTATCAGCAATCTCATATATAAGCACTGCACCTAATTTTCCCCCCAGTTTCCTTGGATTTTATAATAGCTACTCCTGAAACAAATAAGTCTCTTTTATTCAGTAACACCCATGGATTAGATGGCCAATGTGATTACCTCCCCCTGTAAAAAAACAAAAATGAATATTTACTAGGGAAAAACACTACGAAAATGATAATAATAAAGAAAAACAATTCCAACCCTCATTTGCAAGGGGAACTTAGATTCTCTATGCGTTTGCAACTGCTAAAGTCTGGAACTTTTTCTCTGGTTGTTTGTTTTAAAATAGGTTAAAATAAGAGTGGGATTCCATTTGCTGTGTGATACATGGTCGGAAGAAGCGGCGTGAACTGATAATTATGGAGGGGAGAAGCGGGAAAGGATGAAAATAATATTGGTGAAATTATAATATGACTCCTAAAGATGACACGCAATTAAAAGTGTACTCTGTGTTTTTGTAATTTTTTTGGATTATGACTATTAAATATGACACACATTATTGTAAGTCAAAAATCGTTCAGATTTTAAAAAACATGACATTTTTTTATGACACACGTGTTTTATAAGTCATAAATTAGCGTGTATCATCGTTCGTGTGTCATTAAAGATATATTTTCTTATAGTGATCTTTAAGAAGACCTCGACTTTTTACTGGTCATTATTAAATTGGTACCATCAATCATTCTGAGTTTGAGATGCCTAGCTTTGCACCTTAAATAAGTTCAGACAACCAATCTATTCCCATGATCATATCAAATTCTCTGAATGAAAACTACATTCGGTTGGTTATGAAGATTTGACCTTGGATCTCTACTAGGCATCAACAATAAAGTTTATCTACAAGAACGTCTAACCCTAGGAAACTAGATATTCAGACTTCTATCTCTAGGTCTTCTACTGGGATGTGTCTTTCTTGGACCAAATCATAACAAACAAGGATCTATTAAAATGAGAAATAGAATGAAAAATATCATATATGTACTTGAGGTTACATCTGTTGCTTCACACTCCTAAGCTCTTATTGCATATTGTATTCAAGCTACTCTCGACTCATAACTAGATATTAATCTAGATATATCTCTATTGTATTATCCAGATCCAACACCATTACCTCTCGAAGACCCCGACCTTGTTGAACATATGGTGTTACATTATGGGTCGACATAGGAGATATTTTAAGCCTCTAGGCAATCCTGGATGAAGTGGTCTAATGAGCCACAACTGAAATATCCCCTCGACTCATGCTGACACATCTCAAGGTACCTTATCTCATAGTGCACGTAAATCAGGTGAGAAAAGGTTCTCACTAAACCACTAGTGCTCTTTTTAAAGGCTGATAATAAGGGCCTCCTATGGGACTCAAATATACTCCTATGATCGAAACTATATCTTGACCTCATAGGCTGGCCTTCTAGGAACCTCCACGATCACTAAGTGTCTTTGTCCCTCTTGACCGATGTCTATAAAGGCATCACTAGCTCTAAATCTTTCTAAGTTTGTCATGTATACCCATTCATTTGCCTAGGTCTCTTACTCTGGACCCTTTCAATTATTTTCATCTAGCAAGTCAACTCAGAAAAGACCCTATGAGGGTCAATTGCTAGATGAGTAAGGATATCAAGGTGTAGGCCCTCCTTGAACCTCTGATAGTGGTGGTTCTCTAACGCTACCAACTCTAGTGTATACCGGCTCAACTGAAGGAACTCTAGTTTGTATTCATACACTAACTGATCATCTTGAACTAGATGTAAAAACTATCCCCTTAAATTATCCGTGTGAGTCTCTATGATGTACTTCTGACAGAATTCAGATAATAAGTACTCCTATATTGGTCTCTCTTGCTCAAATACTATCTATATTGTTTCTCAAAAGTATATGACATTACCTGTCAATAGGGTGGTGACACACTCGAGCTTACCCTCAAGGGTAAGGGTAAGGTGCAGCTGACAAAGTTTGTGGATGGTCTCTCTAAGTCTGCTACGATGGGTCATCATTACTAGAACAAAAAAAATTTGTAGTCTTGTACCTATGAAGCTTCTTGACCGGAGACTCTTGTGGTGTTATGGTAGGTGGCCAGGTGGAGCAGCTGATGCCCGAAGGATATCACAAACGATAGACCTAAGTGCTAAGTAGGGGTGCTCAAAATCAGGTACTCGTATTTTTAGGTACCTGAAATACTGGGTACCCAAAATTTTCGTGTACAAAAAAGTCAGCCTGTGTCCCAACCCTTTACATCCGAGTACTAGTAAAAGTTGGGTACCTGAATTTTTGGGTCATGGGTACCCGATTGATAATTTTTTATTCTTTAAATTATATTATTTTAAAATATTATATAAAAATTCTAAAATTTAAAGGTATATAATATATATATAATTCACACATAAAGTTTAAAAATTCAAATTACATAATTAAAATAAAATTTATTAAAAAATAAAATAAAGAAATATAATTAAATTTCAAATGTTTTGAAGTTAAAATAAATATTTTAAAAAAATAATTTAAAACGTTAATGTGAAATAGTTTAAGAAAATAAGAATTTAGAATTCTATGGTGGCAAAATTTAAGAAATTAGAGATTTAGAATGCTAAAGTGAAATAATTTGAGAATTATGAATAAAATATTTAATATAAAATAAAATGAAAAATAAAAATTTTATAACAAAGGTGTACCGGGTCGGTGGCTACCCAGTTAAGCAATATATTTTGACCCGAGCTTGACCCAAAAACCAAAAAAATAATGTGTCGGGTACCCGACCCAAAAAATATGGTTTTTTTTATTATAAATACCTCGTGTTTTTAACTTGGTAGGTGAGTTGGCGGGTCAAGTCAATTGGGTCGGGTATTTTTTAACACCCCTAGTGCTAAAGTCATGTCCCTAAAGAAGGTTTTCTTGTCAACCCTTACAACTCCTAAAATATCACATCCCTCTAAATATAGGAAAAACTCATTGCCAATGTCTTCAGCTAAAGAGACGCGACTCTCATCTCTATCATCCTAACTAGGGGAAAATTATCGATTATTAATGTTTTTCTAAAATTCAAGGAAGAAAAGATAAGTCATTATCATCATTCCAGATAACAAGTACTCTTAACACTTTAGAGGGGTGTATATACACAAATGCTTACTAACTCTAACCTGTGGGTCCTAGCAACGACTGAACCTGACACTCTTATATCACTAAATGTAACACCCTAGTCCAATCCGATCCAAAGATCAAGGTATTAAAGAATCACACGAGATCGCTAAAGCATCTAACCCAAACTTTTCTTTTAAAAAAAACATTGTAATCATCATTAAAATGTCATCAATTGAAAATATAAATATTATAGTTTAAAAAATGGGGAGCTTCTGAATCTATCATAAAACAACATCATAATATTTTTAATAAAATATAGTTATAAATCAAATACACAAAAGTTCTATGAATAGTACATTCCCTCTGAAATAGACTTAAGATGTACTCTTGTGCTTCGATAAATATGAAATTCGCAAACTGATGATAAGCGCACCGAGAGATCTCCTAAGAACCTAGACATGAAAACAAATTTTGAACGTTGAGCTCATAAGCTTAGTGCCACACAAATAACTCTACTATACTGCGTACATTCACTACATGAGCATACTAGCAGGTAGAGGCATAAGCATACAAGAACACTAAACACACAAAGCTGAGGTAGACATCATGGTATGAGCGGGGGGTTTGATGTATCTTGGGACTCACACCCCTCTAGCCTATCTATGATACCCTTGAGTATATGGGGTACGATCCAGAACTGCATTGAGAACGTACACCAGGCTAGCTTACTCCTTGGAGTACTAGGGACATCTATGCCTAACCAAAAAATATAAGTGTCTTGGTACTATATGACATATATATATATATATATATATTTTTAATCAAATAATATGATCGTCATACTCATTAGAGTAACTCATGTGTCCTTGTTGTTTCATAAGTTTCACACAAGGGCTAGTTTTATGATATCTTAACTTATGAAATTCTTAGCTTTTGTTGTAATCATTAATTGTTCTCACTTGTAAGTTTATTAGAGAAGTATTGATAGTCCATGACCTTTTCTCGAGCCCTTAGCCTCAAGTTAGGCTTCTTGCCTAAACTGTGTGATGGTGTCGATATTAGGCCTTTTAATATCGATATCGACCTAACAGTACCAATACCCTCCCTTGGTATACCTTGGTATACCAAAAATACATTTGATGTTCTAAGAATACCTTACAGTATCGATACCCTTAGATGAAATTTTGATACTTATATTTAAGCGTATCGATACAGTCTCGGGTAACAATACCAAAATGAGGTTTGATGTTTGGAAAAATAATTTAGTATCGATACATTTACTTAAGGTATCAATACTTATGATTTAAATAGTATCGATACTCCCCAAGTATTGATACCAAAATTGGCTACTAAAATTTACAACTAAACATTGATATCAACACCTCATTCTTGGGTATTGATACCTGAAGAACAATATCGATACCCTATGGATATGGTATTGATACTAACTAACATAAAACCCCTTATTTTGGCTCTATGAAGAATAATATTGGTATTATTCTTCCAATACCAATACCCAAGCCTAGAAATATATGTTGTCTCATGAAAATAACACCATAACTTTACTCATTTTCATGTTGTATAATATCATAAACCATAATCTAACATGAATTAACTTACATGTTTAATGAACTCAAAAAAGCTATCAAACATATATAATGACTCGCAAGTTGTATAGAGGAGTTAAAAATGTGTTACCTTGATTCTGAGCTGCTAGAAACACTTGAGGTTCAACCAAGTACTAGATTTCCCTTGCCTTTGCTCTAGGAGCTCTATCCAACTTCTTTCAGTAATCACAAACAAGAAAAATGAGTTACCAACTCATTTTAGAACTTAAAGAAAGTGGAAAAATGATTCCTAAGCTCTAGGAAAAATTGGGTACACCATAGAGTTCCCAAACCCAAACCCCTCTAAAACCCCCACAATGACCAAACTTTGATGTTGATGGCTTCAATGAAAGCTTTAGGGGTCAGGATTATAACGCTTATCTCAAGAATCTCGGACTAGGAAATGTAGACAACCAAGTTTTCACCTTTGTTCTAGCCACAAGGGAGAATATATGAAGATTTTGAATAGAGAAGAAGACAAGTTTGGGTGAAGAAAAATAGAAGAAAATGAAAGCTTAGTTTTTCTTTCTCTCAATCGTGACCTCACTCCCAAAATGAGATTCAGCCTTTGTGAAATAAAAGGGGTATATAAGCTCCTCGGTCCCTCTAACTTAAGTCACAGTTCAAAAATATCATTTTCTCTTAATTTTGGCTCAACTCAAGTTAACCCAACTCAAAATTGGGCCAAGGCTTCCTAAAAGGTTAATGGGTTTATTTTAAACTCTTTTGGGTTAGCTTGAAACTATTAACTCGAGATTTAGGGTGTTATATTAAAGGTCACTTTAGCAATCATGGTCATAAAAATGAATGTTTATAGTGATTTTTATAGTTGAGGACACTAACAAAGTGTTCATTTTAAGATTACTTACACCCATTAGAAGTGGGATTATAAAAATTAAAAAAGTGAAAAAATCTGATAATGGAAGCATAATTTTTCATTTGAGTTGTATGCGTTGTATGCCAAGGCATCTTGTGAATCATTATCAATAATCATTAAATGATAAATGGAAGAAAATGGAGACAAATTTTTCCAAGAATAGTGAAATGATTAAGGTATTGTTGATCCAAGTTAATTGGAGATCATTGATTTCTTCATTACCCCGAAAGGAGTAATTCCCAAATAAAAAATGATGAGAAAAATTATTAATATTTACATAAATATTAATTAAGAAACCTAAAATTATTATGTTATTTGTTCTCAAAATGAATTATTAACATCAATAATTAAAGTTGAGACTGAATATCTTGTATATATGATTGAAATATGGGTTCATTTATCTGGCAAGTAGACAATTTTGATATGATGTTAGTAGATGCATCTGCAAGGTAAATCACATATATGTTATCAATTTACAACATGTAGTTTGTGAGATTATTTACTCGATTAAAAATGAAAAGTTTCAGATTATGCAATTAAGACTATTCATCTTGCTAAACTTAGTGAGTTTATATTTCAAGCTTGTAAAGATTATATTTTATATTAGTTGAAATATCTGCCACAAAGACTATTATTCATGAACAAATAGTTTACCAAAATTTTGATTGATTGCCTCATTTTAATAACTAAACTATGAGAACAAAACTTCTAATATTTATATGACAATTCACATATAGAACTTATATGCATCAAGCCATCAAGTTATACTTCTCCTTATGATTGACTTTTGGTCAGAAGCCATATATTTCTCATTGTAATTTTTTTGTATGTATTATATGATCATATTAATCCATCATAAATGCACAAAGTTGGTATTTAAAGTAGACCGGGAATAGATATATACACGTTTAGTATAGTCTCACTTTATTGAATGCTCTGAGATT